TTGAATCGTTGAAGCGGCGGGAGAGTTGCTGTCGGAGAGAGACTGGACGGCAACAAATCGGTACTCTTGATGTCCATTAAGCGCGGATGTCCCTAGATCTTCCAGATTTTAAAGAAGATGAGGGGTAGTAATGTTCCAGTACTTATTTCTTGATCTTCCACGGTTAGAATTAAATGAAGCTACATGTCACTGAGGAAGGAGATGAGTATATTGGCCCCATTCAAGAAAAGTGCAGTAGAGTAAGTTAATTAGGATAATTCAGAAGAGTAGAAATGGAAGCTCTGTATTTCGGTATCTCCTTAGTGTTTCCTTCCGTATTGTAAAGGTTGCATTGAAAAGTGTAAAAATTAGGAAGGGGTGAAGTACTTTATACGGAGTATTATCTTCCGGTTGATTTTGTAAAGCTTTGAACAGTATGTTTGTACCTCAATTCTACTTTGTCCAGCCATTTTTCTTACTCATTATAAAAGAAAGGGTGGAATGGTAAAGTTAACTTTAATTTCTATACTTCCTTAATCTTCGTGCCAGTCAACTTTTGCATCTCAATTCGGGATGGATGGAGTAATTGTTAAATGCATAAGAGATGTGTGATAAACAAAATTACTGAATTTGTATGTTGTTCTCCTTAATTAGAGTGGCTAAATTTAGAAGCGCTCTAAATTTAGAAACAGAAAAGTGGAAATCCTATATTTTCATGGAATCTGTATATAAGATATACGTCGCAAATTGTTCTGGAAATGAGCAAGATAGGAAGAGTGCAGAATGTTAATATCAAGAGTTCGTTTGATGACTTTGTTTTTCGACTTATCAATCTTATAAGCTAACATTTTAATCAAACACATAATTTTTTTTTCCAGGCCCTGAACTTTGTAATAATAAGAAAAAGTAAGGTTGAAGATTTTTGGCTGTATTGGCTAAGTTACAATAGATGACCATTTTAGTTATTTTTACATATAATTTTTTAATTATTTTATTAAAAAAATATATTTTAAAAATATTTTTTTCTTAAATCAACAGAATCAGCCAATGCAACCAGAACTTCATAAATTTCAGTAGAATCAGCCAATTTTCGTTTTACCAAACGGGCTCCAAGTGCAAGAGTAATTAACTTTGTGGTAATTACCCGTTTAGTCCACTTTTTCTAGTTCCATTTCATTTATGTCACCCCATGATTTCTTTTTCATTTAAAGACTTTTGATTTTTCAATTTTATTTTTTTAATTTCAAAAATAACCTAATTTAATTCTAAATAAAGTCCAGAGATCGATTGGATGCCGGCAGTCTGGCACCTCAATCTTCTTCATCCATCGTCACGACATATCAAACTGCAGCAGAGAGACCGTGCGACTGTTCTCTTCCCATCTAACTCTGACTGTGCCTCCATCCTCTACGGCTTGGCCCTCCTTGTTCATCCATCCTCGCGACCTCACAGCAAATCGATTTGAAGCGTTAATTACAAAAGTCAGAGACGTTCGCCGTTGTCCCCCAGCGGCGTCTCGACTCTTCGATCTGTGGGCTCCGCCCTCTGCCCTTGCCTGCTCAACTGCTCCTCCAATCGTTGCCCGACTCCCTCACTGCTTTCCGATTTGCATGTATGTGTGAATTTTGAGAATTTTACCTTCACTGTAATTGTTGTTATAATTCATATAGTTAAAATTTATATCTCGTTTTCGATTCAGTTTTGTTTTACCTTTTGCTTTATTTTTGTTATAATTGAATTTCATTTTTAAGATCCCCAAACCACATGACACACATGAATTTTAGATTGGAGTATTTTTGCTTTTTGAATTGTTGTATATTAATGGAATCCCTCACGTTTCAGTTAATCAAAGCTCGGAAATCATGTGTCCCTGTACGATTGCTCAGAGTGCATTGATAAAAAGGCATTAGATCTTCTCATCTGTATTTGTGCTTGCTTATTCTATCTTATTCCTATCCTCTCTTTAATATGAAAAAAACTTTGCAGGCGCTAAGTATTACATGATCTGCTGCTCTTCCAAATGAAAAGATATACACTAAATTGCTTGATTTTGCTGATTTTTGTATTGTAATGATCTGAGTTGCTTCATTTTGCTGGTATTTGTATTGTAATGATCTGAGTTGCTTCATTTTGTTGACTTAATTTTAACATAGTGCAACAAAAAGAAACACTAGGAAACAATAGCAAACAAAGAATTGTAACAAAACTAAAATCTAATTTAAAAAGTCACCTCCATTACAGGATGTAATTTACAAAAGTAGCTAAGTATTACAGGGTCTGCTGCACTTCCAAATGACCATACTTTGTAGGGTTAAACATTATGCTGAAATCTAGAAATTAGAAACTAGATTGTAAATTTTTAAACATTATAATCTCCAAGAATTGAAATGTTTCTACCTTTACTTTTAGATGTGGGAAGGGGTTCTGGTGTTTATAGATGTATTCTGGTTCATAATTTACCCTTTTCTCACTAATAAAGATTACCGGTTGCATTTTGCAAGTCAAACCTTAACTTTTTTTACCTTCTAAGTTCTAAGTCAAACATGCCTGCTTAATCACTTACTGACTTTTTCCTTACTAATATAGCTGACCTTTTGTATATGCATTCTATAAATGTTGTTTGCCTTCTGGCTGAATGTGTGTAATGTGTATAATGAAAAATTGAATATAATAAAATATCAATGAGAAACAAAACTCAACAATAAAAAACAAAATGTGAAAATTCATCATTCAAAAGAAATAAAAGGCAAAACAAAGCAATCATATAAAAAATGCAACAAAGCACAACATAACAATTGATTATAACAAAATACTAGTGAGAAACAAAAATCAACAATAAGAAACAAAATATGAAAATTCATCAATCAAAAGAAACAAAAGGCAACACAAAGCAATCATATAAAAATGCAACAAAACGCAACATAACAACAAGAATAGTAATAACATTATTATAAAAAAATTATATTTAATATTTCGAATTTAAAATAATTTACTTTTTTTAAAACTGTGACTAGTTTAAGTAAAATTTTATTAAAAAATTATATGTTGTATTTCATGACATTTTATCTACTTAACTCTTTTAACATTTTTTGGATTATTTACTATTGATAAAACTTCTATTTTTTAACACTACATAATACTATTGTTTTCAATTTTTAGATTATAGTACTTTATTTATGTTTAGAAAGATTTGTAATAACATTACAAGCTTACATTACAAAATCAATAAACTTGAACAGGTTGGCAAGGAGATTGTGGATGTCTATTTGCAGAGGATAAGAAGGCTTGGTGATAACTTCACTTGTAGGGGTAGTGCATGATCCAGCTTCATATTTGTCGTCCTGGAAAGGCTTTTGTTCACATCTACAAGTTATGTGCTATAAAAACAAACTTGATGCTGAAATGGATCATTGCAAGATCACACAGAGAATCATGATGATGTATAGTTATTTGTATTATTCGTACTATGAAGATAATCATTGTCAATTTATTCTTTAAATGTGTAGAGTTATTAGTAACTTACTACCTTTGTGAAAAGGGATATGAAGAGAGTGGGATGGAGAGTTAATAATATTGTCTACGAGAAGTGTCCACTAATATTTCTTTTTCTTTTGAATTGTTGCATTATGTTACTTCTTGTTGCATCATGTTTTGTTGTTGTTGTTTTTTGTTAAATTCTAATTTTTTGTTTATTTAGATGTATATTTATCTTTGGTACTTCCCTAGAATCAAGATATCTATATAGATTTTCATACAAAGATCTAAAATGCTAATTTTGGATTTATGAGTATAAAAAACAACCGTGAAACATTAAGAAACATAAAAAAACAAAAAAAAAGATTTATTAACAAAAAGAAACACAAAGAAACAATATGAAACAAGTACTACCAATATAACGATAATAAAAAAAATCGATGCTTAAAGAAATGTTGAATTACAAACTTTCTATATTTACATTTTTTTCTATTTTTTAAAAATTCATAATTTAAATTTTTCATATTTTTATTCTTTGAGCTTGTTTTGATATCACACTGTTTTAGGTTACATTAATTTTCTAATAATTTATAACTCTATGTTATTATATAAAATTTTCTAATTTTCTAATTTTCTAAATTTTATTATATAAAATTTATTATATATTTATTTAATTGTTTATATTTAATATGCATATTTTCACTTTTTTATAATAATTACTTTTTCACAAAAATTTCTAATTACTTTTAATACCATTTAACAGTTTCAAACCATTTTATCTTATTTTAAATATTCTTGTTTAATATTATTAAATATTCTTGTTTACTATTTAACAATAAAATTTATTTATTTGAATTAATTTCACTTTTGATCCTATAATTATGTCAATTTCATATTTAGTCACGTATTTTATTTTTCCACTTTTGATACGTGACTAGTATTTATTGACTATTTATAGTCCTTCTGTCTAATTTTTTGACACTTATCTGGTGATTTTAACCACGAAAAATATCGACATAATGACTACATATGTGTGAAATACGAAGTACAACAGTGATACCTCAAAAGTGAACAAAGTAAAAAACGTAGATTAATTGTGGAATTGTGAGATATTCATAAGACCAAAATTGAAATTTACTCTTATTTGATTTGTTGCTAAGCTTATGTTTTCATTTTGGTTGTTTTTATAATACCTACAATTTTTCAATTATTTTCATATTTTTTATCATTTTTTCGTTTTTAAATTTTTAATCCAAATTTTGGACAACTCGAAAAACTTTGGTTAATTTTTTTGAAATTTTTTCTTAGTTTTTTAAATCCTTTTACCGTTTATTTTGTTTGAGATGCGTAGATAGGATTTTGTTGAATGTGTACAGACAATAAGTTATCATTTAGCGGTTAACACCAGGTTTTAAGATTAGTGCGTCGCTTTTAGGGGTTGAGCACTATGAGGATTATTATTGAAAAGAAAACCGTTCTTAGTCTATTTTTGAAAACAATTTAAAAAGGTGACATACGTGATGTAACTTCTCCTTGTTAGCTTATTTGTGAAAAATTCCCATTAACTTTTCCTAATTTTGTGTCCTGCATGTTGGGCTTCAGGGGACCGGAAACCAGTCAGTCCTGTCCATCCCTATACTGACCACACAAAGTTGAGGATTGAATTCAATACAACATAACTGCAAACAACAAACCTATACACATACATAATACCCGAATTAAATATACACAGTTTCACTCCATGATATATCTACATCAGTTTTTCTATAGCACATGTGTTTGGGACCTTTTTAGCTTGAATGCATGGCCGCGGGCCCCGAAGTTAACGACCAGGTAAAACTCGAGTGGCCTTCATGGGATTCGAACGAGCGACGTCCAGTTGTCAATCGTTTGAAGCTAGTCAGCCGCTACTTCCATTTCTTCATCACTCTCATCAAGTTCATCATAATCGTGCATGTACATAAGATCATCAGGTGAATCCCACTGGTCAAAAGACTCAAAACCAAGCTCCTCTCCACGACAAGCCACATGCAAGTATGGTCTGTTTCGGGCCAAGGCGTCCACCATATCCTTGTATCCATATCCATTGACTCCCAACCATCTCAGTCTAGGGAAGTAAGGCTTCTTTAGCCACTGGAAGGACAGTTGAGTTATGCTGCCAAAGTGATAAAGGTCCAACAGGCGTAACCTACTTCCCTGCCACCCGTCATCATCATCAAACTTCATTGAAGCTAACGTGATAACTGAAACATCTCCTATCAAAGGACAGTGCCGCACCCTAAGCTCAAATATAGGGACCTGGCTCTTCACAATCGAAAGTATTCCGGCATCAGAGAAGTTGAGATTGTTTGACAAGTCTAGTTCTTTCAGGTCCTGGTTTGAAGACCCTTCGAAGAGAAAATAAATACATTTGTCCGTCAGCCTCTTGCATCCTCGCAGAGACAGCGAGACAAGAGAACTCTGCACACCTTTTGATAAGTGGGAAATTCCGGTATCACTTATATCTGAGCCATCTATAAGCAAAACTTTCAGCTTTGAAAGTGAACCAATGGATCTAAGCGCTTCATCCCCAAGATTTTTACATTGCCTTAGGTCAAGCACACCAAGGTTTGTGTTGGATGTCAATAGTGAAGCAACACAGTTCGTCAAAAGATTACACCACCTTAAACTTACCCCAGTTAGAGTTAAGGAAGTTGCGCCAATGTCAAGAAACACGAGATCAGTCAGCAGTGGTCCATGTGACACCTGAAACTTTAATAAATTAGCACATGAGTGTAAAACTGTCTTGAAGCCTGTATCTGTGACTTGACAGAAACCACCCAGACAGATACTTTCCATGCTTGAGCACCTATCAGCCATGAGAAGGAATCCCAGATCATTAACTCTCCTGAAGTATGCACGGAAAATGTCTTGGCTTCTTATCAACGAGAGGTGCTTTAGTTTTCCGTGTGGGTTTATCTGTTGAAGGCCTGCATTTGTAAGGTCGAACGCCACTCGTGGTTCCGTGATTGGTGAATCTCGAAGGTCCAAAGAGGTCAATGAATAGAGATTTCTAGATATTGTACTGATCATAGTATCAGTGATATAGTCCACTGAAAGGCTTAGCTTCTGTATTCCTGGCAACAAAGACGGTTGGATATGGTCAAGTGACTGCTGTGGAACCATGGGAGGACTAAGCAGTTCAATCAGCATGACTGATGAAATGTATCCAACTTCCAGTGAAGAAAGCGTGGCAGGGGCCAGAGCCCACACACGAGCAAAATCGTGACGCAAGAATATAGAAACATCAAACATCAGGACCAATGTCTACAAAAATAAAATACCATGGTAAGAAATTGTGAAATTACGAAAAAAACATCATATTCCTACATGCACACGAAACTGCTGCTCAGGACACCTAAATTGTGCCTGTGGAGGTAAATTCAGCTTTTGGAACTAAAGCATAAGAACAGGAAAGATATAAGACAAGTATAACCGGCCAGTCCTATCTTTGGACTAATAAGGAAAATTTATAATTCAGAGCAAGAGATATTTGATCACTCTGGTTTGGGTGAAAGACTGATTAAACCAGATCACGAGCTATTGGGCTTATATCAGATCTGCTAAGACTCATAAATTATCTCTTAAAAGGGCACACAGAGTCCTGGTCAATTGAGTTTCAAGAGTGGTCCTTTATTCTGTATTTTCAATTTGTTGCCTGTCAATCTACAAATACTGACGAGTAATAAAAGCTAATTTAGCAGCTCCCTTGAAGGATAGTGCACGGGTTTCTATTCCTCATTTACCAGTTTTAAATTTAAAAAATGGAATTTTAATAGAGCTTCTGAATTGAGGATTTTAAGCAATTTCCTTTGTCGCAAATGATAAGAAAGCATCGCCTTTTAATATTAAAATGTGATGGTCAAGTTGCATTTGTTATGTCAAGAATTTCCCAAAAAGTTATTTTCGCAATGTAGTCTTACTTCCAACTGAGTGCAACCCCTGAGTAACTCCTCAAGATCAGATACATCAATTGATCTCCCTCTTTTGTCTCCCACTGAACTCAAATATAGAAACCTGAATAGCAGCATTCAACAGACAAAAGAGCTAATAACTAATACAGCGTAAGATCAACCAGAGTACCCTTAGCATTTTAAGTCAACAACGTAATTAAAGTTGAAACTGTAAATACATACATCGATGAAGAAGCAAAGAAGGAAACTTTTTTACTTTCAGATACAGATTCATAACATAGAAGAGTGCAACAGGACTAAGGGTACTCCCTAAAATAAATAGTAAAGATACGAAGACCTGAGATCTGTGCAGCCACGACCTACGTCAGAGAGAAGCTTTCCGCTAAAATAAGAGCAATTATGGAGGCAAAGCTCTTCCAAAGTCGGCGGGAGGATGAAATCGAGCGAGGAATCGTCGAGGCGAGTACAATCCAGCTTTATGCTTCGCAGGTAAGGGTTGGGAGGCAACAACGGTCTCAGCATATCCGAGGACGGAGCAATATCCTTAAGAAATTAAAGAACAAATCAAGGATTGGAATTGAATAGATTTTTAGACAAACCAAGAACGAAATGTCAGTTAGGATTCGGATTTACGAGGAGATGGAAACATGGAAGGAACGATACGATGTGAGTGGCGCATGAATAGAAGGCCTTGCAAGTGCATGCGAGGGAGCGTATCGAGGGAACGTCTAGCTTAGTCATGACGGTAGCAAGGAGCGCCGACGGCAGATGATCCAGCCGGATCCCATGATTTCGGTCCGATTCCGGTGAGTTTACCATTATTTCGTCGGAGCAGCCGCTGTTGACCTACTGCACTAAACGTATGTGGTGCTATGACTATGCTAGCTCACTTTGTGGTTAATAATAATCACACTTAAAATACTCAAAAGAGAGTGGAGAGAACATAAATTCTAATCGTAAATAATTTAGACTAAATACTTAGTTACCAGAGGGAAAAACGTCTTAGATTAGCCACCATCCCTCATCAACATATCATGTGTTGACCAAATACCATATCTCTCTCATATCGATGTCTTTTAGTTTGATATAATTATTAATAAAGTAATTGAAAAGTAAATGTTATATGAAGTATTTGATATTTGAGTAAAATAAAGTGAAATGATTTGCATTCTATATAGTAGGCATTTCTTGCTAACAAAGGAAACAAGACATTGATTTTGGAACAACAAAAAAGGAAAGTATTTTTTTACCCGGTAGGCAAGCTATCAAAACTAAAAAGGAAAGTAAAACAAATAGAATGAGACAGATAACAACAGAAATTATTTATCTACATAGTTGATGGGTAATTGGTAGTGTTGTGCATTAATCGGGTCGGATCGTATTTTAGACTTGAACCGGACCGGAATGAACCGATCCGGACCGAACCGGTATTGACTGGTCCGAGTTTCGGTCCATAGTTTTTTCAAGATTCCGGGTTCCGGTCCGGTCCGGGTCAAACCCGGAAAAAACAAATCCGGACCGGAATGGACCGGTAAACTATTGTTCCGTATAATATATACTTCGTTCTGTATCATTAGTCATTATGTTTATGGCTTACTTTTGTCGTTTATTATATAAACGAATATATACAGAGTGTATATTTGGTGTCTAATTATTTTCTAAGTTGTTTTTTATTTGTTTATTTATGTGCAGGTGTGCACTACTATGATCGTAGTCTATATTTGTTTGATTTTTCCAAATTGATTTTTATTTGTTTCTTTATTTGCAGGTGTGCATGTAGTTTATACGTAGTATATTTTTGGACGTAATTAAGTTTTTATTACTCTACAATAGATTTTCCCATTTTAATATACACAAAAGATTATAGTTTTAGTTATTGTGGGAAACTAATTGTTACGATTGAATAGTTTTAATGACTATATTCCAAAATCAATAAATGAGTTAAACAATTATTTAGTCTATTTAGCATATCCGCACATAAAATTATAGTATGAAACAACAACAACAACATTCAAGCCTTACTCCTAAAAAAAATTGGGGTCGGTTAAGAACACGTACTCTAAGATAATATGGTTTTTTCTAAAACCGGGTCAATTAGGGTGAAAACCGGACCGGACCGGAAAATTCAGATCTGGACCGGTCTGGACCGGATAGATTCAGGTCCGGTCTTCGGTCCATAGAAAATGACAATTCCAGTTCCGGTCCGGTCTGGTTTTGGACCGGTGCACACCTCTAATAATTGGTATTCAATCTATATAATTAATGGACAAATTGAGCTAGAGAGTGGAGAAGAAGATGAATATTATGTATTGAATGTCTAAACTATTGATTAGGTTTACAAAAAGCTCCAAGAGGAGTATATACAGAGAGAAAGAGTTGGTTGAGCGGCTAATAGGGGCCCGAGAGGCCCAACTAAAGCCCCAAATTCTATTGATGACTTAGAACGATTACAATACACCCTTATCGAGTCGAGCCCCGAGCCTCTATTCTAAGTTGTGAGACTACATAAGAAGTATAGAGAGAAGTCAATGTTATTGAATACAAGTTGCCGACCTCTTGCAGTGAAATAAATGTCATTATTTAAATTATCAAGGTGGTAAATGGTGGTGATGATGTGGCCAGTCCTAGGTGGATGGTCACCATTCATAAAATCTTCCATATGTGGTGCATTAAATGCGCTTCCTGCCAAACTTTACTTTTCCGCCAATTCTTCTAAGGTAGTGGGCTAGGAGCCCATCCACGGTGGTCCAAACAATTTGTTCAAGGATATGATTTCGCGCAGCACGCGCCATGGGGTACGGGCCGCTCGAGCCTGGAGCCTTCTAATTTTATTTGGCCGTAGGGGAATTGGGCATACCACATGCTTGGCCAATTATCCCAACACAAGTCCCCTACATCTGATGGTTCGAGCATGTGCAGGAAATGAGGATGTAGAGAAAAAGCCTTGAGCCGCGCGAACTCGGTGCTCCTCGGAGACAGCTGTCTCGACGGTTCCTGAGGTTCTGAAGTGACGGTTACAGTTGCCGATTCAATTTTGAGATTTTCTTCATGATTACCCAACTATCTGCCTTTGCGCGACACGTGTCTGAGGGTATGCTCCTTGCCATGTGTCGCCCTGTGACTAGACCTTGCTTCGACGGCTTCCCATATAAATATCCACTTAAGACTTTGGCTCGGGGTTTTCGAAACCACTCTTCTTCTCTCTAGATTGCTCTCGCTTTTCTCTATGTCAGAAGTCCGTCGTCAGCTCTTTCTACGTCAAATAGCATGTGTTCCTTTTTCTCTACCCCACTTCCTCTGAGGTTGGGCCTGCCCGGTCAATGTTGACGTGTTTACTATGACCATACAATAACAAATGTGAAACAAAAATATTACCGCACAATAACAAAACAAGCGATTGAATGATCAAAGATAGCTAGCTCGAACATAATGGAAATAATATGAGAGTATCTTGTATCGTGTAAGCAATGACTCTATATTTAGCTTGTATATATAGAGGATCTGGAGAAAATAGATTGTTTCTCAGACCGCTAGGATATGAAATCAGGGCAAAGAAAAATAGCAAAGACTGAGATAGGGAGATTGCCATCACAACAATTAGCCGAGTCAGCATCAGAATAAGCAAATATAACATGAGATGACTTTTATGACTTGAGCAATAGATATGTGTGGAGGACCCTTGCAAATACTTGAAAATACATTTGACTCACAAAACATGAAAAGTATGTATGCATAAATTTGGAAAGCAAATGAACATCATATGCAATATAAAACAAAGCCATAATTAAATGTTAGAGTTTTTGCCATTTTTAGTCCTCCAATTATTACGTCACTTACACTTTTGGTATTCTACTCTGATTTTTCCCATTTTAGTCCTTGATTATGGTGCTAGAGACACTTTTGATACTCATCTTTGAAAATTTCCATATTTAGTCCTTCGACTTTCATAAAAGTGTCACTTATGGTCCTTCAACATCATAATAGTGACATTTTTAGTCCTCCACTTATTGTGTCAAAATGATAGTGGAAGGACTAAAAGTGTCAATTTGCTAATACTCAGGGACTAAGTGTGGGTAACTTTGAAGTCAAGGACTAAAGGTGTCTCTATCAAAATAGTCGAGGACTAAAAATGGAAAAATAAAAAGTCGAGTACCAAAAGTGTTATTGACATAGTATTCGTAGGACCGAAAATGTAAAAATCTCATCAACTATAGAACCCAACGACATAAAACCAATCTAGTTTACCTATAACTAAACCATTTATGAATTGGCGTTTAATAAAATAATAAACATGAGAACGTTTAACTTAAATGTGGCAAAAGATGCATAGTAGAAATTGTTTTTCCTGCATTCACAATTTGACTATCTCAATAAAATGATTACAAAAAGAAAAAAAGATGATCTAAATTCATAGTGTAAACTAAAGTCAAGAAATAGAGGTCCAGATTATATAAGATATGTAAAGAGATAATTTCCTAATTAGGACTAAAACATGTTTAAAATGAAAAATTAGGACCACAATGTTTAATAGGAGTAAAAAGACCCGGATAGACTAAACTACCCTTAATGAAAACTAATTTATTTATTAAATACTCCGCATGTAGTGTTGTAAAGCAAAATAAAAAACAAACTTCAGCAGCTTAACACACGGTGCGACAGATCTGGTAAATGACTAGCGCAATCTCCGATGCCACCGCCGCCTGACCACCCCCCCCCCCCCCCCCCCCCGCATCTGCCGCTGCCGCCCTCATCTGGCTCCGCTGCCGACTTCCGGTAAGTCCTCTACTGGTGTCACTTCGTCTTCCACAACAGTGCTCACCACAATTTAAACATTTGCACCCTCTCCGACCATAATCGTCTACAAGAGGTTCAAGTAAAGATATTCAGACATCATGGTGAGACTTGTGCAGCACCACCACCTTACTGCATAGTGCAACGTTGGTGCCATGCCTCCCTTGCGTAGCTGCTCTGCGAAGCATGTTTCACTTTTACATGGAGATCCCTTTCAATTTGAAGATATGCTATTCAATTGGTGGAAAATGGGTCCTTCAAAGATGTACAAACACTGGAAAGAAACATAATTATAGAGTTTGAATTTGTTTGATGTCATATTGCCATAATCATTTATTAAACGCATGTATTGATGTCATATTATCATTTTTAGAATAACTGGTAATGCCAATTTTAAGAAGATCCATATTGCCATCATTAGGAATAATATTGCCATTTGAATAAACTTAATGCCATAAAAATGGCATTATTTGTTAAAAGCTCTCAAGATCATGACACTAAAGTTCAACACTACATTCTTGATAAAATGACATTACTTCTAAATAGGGGTGGGCGCGGTCCGGAATGGTCCGGTAAATTGGTAAAACCCGTAATGTATCTGTGAGGTTTTTAACGGTTCGGTACGGTCCGGTTCCAAGGATAGAACCATTCGGTACCATGTCGTTTCAGAACGGTACAAAACGGTACAGTACACTGTCAAACACATGCTAAAATTTTTGAACAAATCTTGCAATTAGTAGATATCATCACACCAACCAACTCACATGAAATGTTGAAATAAATACAAGAAATTGCATACCTAGTACTAAAATTCACAAATACACAAATAGTGCAACACAACTAAGAAAAAATATAGCAAAACGATGACGCACGAGATAAATATCATTTTTAATTTACTAAGTTCATGTGAAAATATAAAAACGAATATCATCAAATTGTTAAATATAATAGAAATTAGATCTTCAACGTTCTTCTTCTTCGTTCTAGGTTAAATATTACTCCGTAGTTCTAATTTAATTTATAGTTGAATCTTGAGAGCTAAGATTTAAACCATATTAATTAAATTGTAAAAAATGCATAAACATGATACAACAAAAAGTCATGTACACTACATTACTAGAAATAAAT